CCGCTGGAGCAAGGACTCAGCCTCGGTACATGGGTCACCAGCCCTACCAACTGAGGTAACCAGGCGCCATCTTTGTTCAGAAATTCTTATTCACAGAAATAACATGTCTAGCTTTGATATAAACAGTTATGTTGATAGACTGAGAATGAAACAACCGGACACATTTAAATCATTTAAAAGTTGTGGTTTTGGGATGGATGTTTCCAGCCAGGCTAGAGCTCTGAGCAGAAGGAGCCTGGCAGTGAACATCCTGACCACTGTCCCTTTTCCTCTCCCATTAAAATGAATTGGGCTTGGTTGCACTTTGGTATGACACGTGCACTGCAAAGCACGTGTGAGTCTGTTCAGATCATCTCTTTATCTTTCTCTCTCTCGGTCTGGGTGTGTCTCTCTATTTCTCTTTCTGGCATAGTCATTGTAGTGAGACTGTTATAGGCAAATCTGTGTGATTTTGCTAATCTGAGCACAAACCCAGTTTCCCATCAGATTATGTAGATCCACATGGAGAAAAACAGCATATCTGTCTCATCAATCAGCAACACTCAGTTTGACTCCACACTACTGTGTTTTTGTGGTATAACCTGTATATACTGTTGATGGATATAACACATACAGCAGGCTATATACATATCCTTATTTTAACCAAGCCAGTGGCTCTGATGGAAATATCTGTTGGCATCGGCACGTTCACATTTATGGTTTAAGGTGAAATGTCTCATGTCTTACACAGATTTGTGTCTGGATGAATTGTAATCACTTTGGTGATTCTTTAACTTTTCAGCCCCGTCATCAGATCTAAATTTGAATTTGTCCAATTTATGATCAAATACCTTCTAAACTAACGACTCAGTTCAAGCCTCAGTTGTTCTTTGTGTTTAGAGCTAATAAGCAAAGGTGACCATGCTAAGACGCTAAACAAAGATAGTAAACATGGTAAACATTATGCCTGATAAACATATGTTACATTGTCATTGTAAGTATGTTGCCCTGCTAACATTAGCATTTAGCTCAAAGCACCGCCTGACAGAGCATGGCTGCACCCTCTTATGTCACTTTATCTTTGCATTCACTTTCCCACATTTTTAATTTAGTTTACATCGAATACTGTTCATTTCAGTTAGAGTAGGAAGTTGATTATATCAGTGAGCTCATATGATCATGTCCTCTTTTGACAGGAAATTGTTCCGTACCACCTTGCAACATCACCGATCATGTCAACGGGGGCGGAGTTAATGGAGTCCCAGCTAGGCAGGGGGAGTTCTCGACACCATGGTAGGCCCTGTTAAAAAAAGACATTTGGGAATTTTTGAAAATGGGTGTGTGCTTTTGAACAGCTTTCATGGTACTTTCTCTCATCGCATAGACACCATCCCCTGTAGCTCACTTCCTGTCCAGAGCCTGGGACCGCAGCAAAGTGATGGTGGGATGACCAAGAAGAGGAGAAAGAGAAGGAGGAAGGCACGGCCAGAGGCAGGAGGAGGAGGAGGGAGGAGAGAGGAGAGCGGGGAAGAGTTCTCGGAGGACGAGGACATGTTTACTATTGACTTGAGTTCAGATGAGGAGAGAGAGGGTGACGGCAGCAGGTGTGTGTGTGTGTGT